TTCCACGCGCATCAGGCCTTGTGAAGCCGGTCTAATCTAGGCATTCTAGGTACGCTTAGGCATTACTTAGCATAATAATTTTGGATTTTATAAAAAATTCAATATTGATGGCTTTTGATACGCTAAAATTTACTTCCAAAAAACAAGTATAAGCGGTCGTATCAAGTAAAAAACCCAACTATGAGGTTGGGATCGATCACACGAGGAAAAGGGTTTAGACATAACTCTAACCTACAATTACTTCTAATTAATCAAGTCCTTTCCATAAACAAGTTATAAAAGGGGGGTTTTAAATAACAAAAGTAATTAAATATTTCTAATTCAACAAGTAGAAAGTATGAATATTTGATATTTTTCAAGTGATGAGAGTAACTAGGGCGTAAGTGTTTTCCACAGGTTCATAACGCGATAATTCTAGCTATAAAAATCCTTTCCTAGTATCGTGCATCCAAAGTGGTAGTTATCTATCCCTTATTCCTTGGTCCAGCAACAAGGGAATTTCACTCCGCAACATGGTTCGGCTACGTGTGTATGCCTTACTAAACCTTACCTTTATTCCATATAAATCATCATAATTGATGTATGGCTTAGTTATTACTTTGCACCAATTGACACTAGACTATTAGATAGTGTATACTAAAGCTATGTTAAGAAATCTTTTCTTATTATCTACCTCCTTTGTCCGAAAATTATCAACAAGGCGCGTTATAATGCGTGCACTCATTAAGAAAACTTCTAAATGAAAGAATTATCAATGTATCTACAACACTATTTTAGAATTGTTATTTTATCTACTTTTTTATCTTTGTAATTACCCATGGTTCCCACAACCCTAGTGATGGATTTAGTTACCCATGATCATAATTACACAATTCGTATTTATTAGAAAAGAATTTTATGTACTTATTTTTATGAGATTGAAGAAAATCCAGAAAATTACTTGAATTTGAGAAAATAAGCAATAAACGATTTCGGAAAAATTAAGTATTTTCAGATTTCCAATATTAAACAACCAATATTACAATTAAGAAAAATAACGAAGAGTCATACCCCAAAAACAAGTTTCTAACAGGTATTTACAATAAAGAAGTCCTAACATAAAACGGAAATCTATTTAACGAAAATCTGCCCCAAAAACGCGTCTCAGTCGACGACAGGACCTATGGACCGTTGAGGCATCTCGTTTTTCCACACTTAGAATCTTTTTTTAGCTTCTTTCTTCTCCAACTCACTGTTACCATCGACGGACCAGAATGATGGTACGTGGGTTAACGACGGTCTATTGATGGCTTCCGTTTCTCCACACTTAGGATCTTTTCAAGACGAGTAATGGGGCTACTTTCAATTAGCAATGATGGATGTGCAGGACAGTCCATCGTGTATATGACGGTCCATCAATAGCTTCCGTAGCCTCACAGTTGGTCAAAATTCCCCAATCTTCCTTCAGCAGCATTTTCTTCAGACGACGGTTGCCATCTACAGACCATCGAGGGTTCCACCGAGCTTCGATTGTTCCGAAGGTCATAAGTTATACAATTTCAGCTCAGTTCTTCATCGTTTCATTCTTGATAGTTTCCCTTTAAAAAAAGATAAAAATACACTAGAACTACAAGAAAAAGCTTTAGACACTATCTAAACTTAATGAAAGAATTAAAAGTATCGTGAAACCACGGTACATCAACACCCTCAACTTAAATTAATTGTTCGTGTTGAAGCGACGCACTATGAGTCACCACATAGCATATGTATAATAATATCGTTATTTTAGCTTTTACAATCATCTAACTATCAATCCCGATTATTTTTTTTATTTATGCATGCTATCACTATTAGGCTCGCCCATGTGGATAAGACCATGACCCAGACTGACCACACATCGACACCTATCCTCTTTGATCCCTCATCAAGATACCAATTTTTCGGTATTGCAACTAGTTTGCTCACTTCAAAAGAACATCCTCATTATTCACACAATGATTTCAGTTTGAGTATAAGGATTATTTTTTTTCAACACTCGCTCTCAGAACAACTTCACACCTCATTTATGTTTGTTGCCATAGGCTTGCCCTTATTTTCACTACTTTAAGTTCACTATAATAGAGTCTTAGGATCACGATAGGACCTTCTTAGATTGTAACTTAGGCTCACTGTCAGGTTGGGTACATTTGAATGTATTTAAGTTATGTATTGCCCTCCTTGACATAACGGCTAAGCGTCCTACTTTTTTATCATTTTATTCCACCCTATTTCTTCATTTTTTATATTCTTTTGTCTTACTTTTCTCCTTTCTTTCTCATTTTGTGTAAGTGATTATTTCATTAATTTTTTTCACTTTGCTTTAAACTTTTTTTGAGTCACTTTTCCTTCGATCTTTCTCTTTATTTATTCTTTCAACACCACTTTCCGGAGCATTCCATAAGTAGCCACCCTCAACCCATGGTTTTGCCATGAGTAAAGGTACACAATACCAAAGGTTGGGTAAGGACCAAGACATGGTTGTTTTTCTTTATTTCCCACCCTCAACTTATGCTTTTTGCATAAGTTGAGGAGCACATTTCCAAGGAGAGACATGACAAACAATTTGTTCTCAAAAAAGATCACTTGGGGTTAAAAAGAAAGGTCTATTTTAAGATCAAATAATTTGGATCAAGAAGGGATTAATTTCATTCGGTTTTATGTTATCTAGGCCAATGATAGGTTATCTTGAATAAGGGCCTATGATCATTTTCAAATTGTATATGACAACTTACTTTTAGTAGGACTAACCTGGCAAGTACTAGCTCAGTACCAATGGTAAACTATTCAAATTGTTTTCACACTCACTTGACATCTCTTTAATCTATCAGATTATCATACACCTAGTTCGTGGTGTATCTTTATGTCATGCTTATAGACATACAATATTCAATTACTATAACTAGTCATGCAACATTTTCTTAAATATTTTTGTTTATCCATCGTGCTTTAGATTCCATTTCTACACAATGCACAAAAGATACCAACATGTTGGTTAAACAGTAAAATAACAGGTCTTTCGGGAAAAATAAACACAAGCAAGAAAAACCCATGAGAGGATCGTGAATTGGGATACTCAGACTTCACTACAGCACTCACATTCAATTTACCTCACCCCAACAAAAAATCATGCAATTGTACCCGATGCATAAATATGGTGATAGGTAAAGCTAACCTGAGGCTCAAAGCACCGACAATCAATATGCTGATAGGTTCGATTTCCCAAAACTAGCTCCTTCTGTATTAGGAACACCATAAGTGGTGTCCTCGGCAATAAATACACCATCAGTAGTGATCCTCTTATTCTCAAGCGAGACGCTGCAACAACAACTTCTTGAACACTCAACAGGCAAGTCTCCTTATCAAGCAATGAGGCTCTCTTCGCACCCTCCAATTCATTGCTCTCTTTCTTCCATGCCCGAGACTCATCATCCTCTCTAACTCGGTTCTTTTTCGAACAATCTCATGGGGGTGGTGGTGGCACAACAGTTGTGGAGAACATGATATCTAGCACCGTGTCCTTAGCAGGCTCTGTAGTAAAAATCCTCAAACTCAGGAACTGAAGCCTCTAGTATTATATCCAAGTCTTCTCATAGACTCTCCACAACATCCTAGAGAGTCATCAAATCCAGTGTAGGGGATGGCCGGGTAAGAACCCGCAACTCAAATGCATACAAGCAATGGTGGACCTCCATGATTGCCTCTTAGTATGCTGGGCCATGTTTCTCTATATCCGCTCTTCCGCCTCAGCAAGGGATCTCTACATCCAAGGCTAGATGTGATTCAAAAGTGTGTCCATTTGGGCCTCTAATTTTTGGATCCTAGAAGAATGGACCAGTGTAGTAGATGGAGTCGAGCGCAAGGAGTTTGGAGTAGTGCTAGCACCCGAGATAGACTCAACTGGGGTGGTGTCAGTAGGCTCGGATATAACTATATTAGCTACTTGGGCTTGCTCTACCGTGGGGATCAAACTCATTTGACTCATCTAGAATGAGGCTAATGTTAATCGTGCTTGGCGGCGTTTTGATCACATCAATGTGTCGTACGGTCACTCCTACATACCTATTCAACTCAAAGGTCATGCACGGGAAGTGGTAAGTAGTAGTGGCCTTAAAGGCCCTCTCATTCATCACAACCTTCAATAGCCATGCAAACATTACCTTGAACCCCACAAAAATGGCATCCATCAACACTGCAGGATCCCAAGTTACAATGTTATCAGCAACAGTAGGGGAAGGGAAAAAGCAGTGGTGAACCAGTAACCATAAGAATTGGGCTGTGAAGGTGAGGTTGGCATTCTTGATGCTCCCCTTGGACTCCAGCACCAAATCATCAACCTCATCATCCACAGAGAGGTGATGTGCAATCCATCGGTTGGTGATATCTCTCAAATTCGGCTTACACTGGAACAGACCGTCCTTGATCTATTTTAACCGATAGTAAAATTCTGCGGTGAGGGGGGTCCTGGTGGAATTAACGTCCTCGCTATAGAGAAAACTGCGAATGGGAGGGAAAGAAATATCAACTGCTTGAACCGAACTCGTACGTACTCCAGAGGGGCTTGTTTTGCTGGGGTGGCCTGCCTATCCAACTGAGACCGGAAAGTCGCCACATTGGAGGCGTAGAACTCTAGCACCGTTTCTTTGCTATAGCGGTCCACATTTCGAGTCTTCCACTCCAGCCAATGTCTAGTTAATATATCATGGATGGCTGGCACAGTGGAAAGACTCCCATAGAGAGCCCGCCGCTTGAGTGTTAGCGTCTGGTAATGACCCCCTTGTCGTAGATACCTTAGAATCATTATATACTTGATATTGACCCTCTAAAAACAACCGGTAGGGTTGATAAAAAACCAGATCGGGGACGTCAGTCTGCGGTACTGGAGTTGAATTAGCACTATAAGCCTTATCAGACGAGGCAGAGTGGACCAAAGTATCTAAAACATTGGCATTAAGAGAAGCAGAATACTCCTCAAAGTTGAAAGCCTACATAGAGCCGAACGCTTCCTCTGAACCGGAAGCCTTCTTTGAGCCAAATACGTCCTCAGAATGTGCAACTAACCCCAAAAAGTGTGCAGGTAGAATGCGATCCTCTTCAGATAAGGAGGCAGTGAATCTGCCAGGCGCCACCTTCATGGGTGTGGCTCTATAGGTGCGGGCAGCACATGTAGAAGTGAGGGTGCCCAGTGGCACGTACTCAAGGTAACACTCATCGTCAGAGACTATGAGCATCTGTTTTGACAAAGCAACAGACTTAAAATTCCTTCTTGAGTAGACACAATATAGCTTTGGTGATATTTGTACCTACAAAGAGAAGTTATTAGTACCAATAGAATCTTGTAACACATTCAAAAGCATCAAACACAAGAGTAAAATAAAGAATGGAATGGCAATGCAACATTTCCTGAAGGACGCATTAACGGGTTATCGAAGATACGACGGTCTGTCATGGGTGTTAGTCGAGGCACACTTAGAAGAATTTTTGAAAATAATAGAAACAAAGGTTCTGATAGTGTCAATGGTTGTGCAGGACGGACCGTCAAAGGGACGATGGTCTGTTTATGGGGTCACTTGTCGGAAACTTAGAAAATAATTTAAGACAATCATAAACAAAGGTTCTGAAAGCATCAATGATTTTGAAGGACGGACTGTCGAACAGACGATGGTCCATCAGTGTGGTCAATCGATGGGTACTTAAAATATTTTTTTACAAAATATAAAACTAAGGTTATGATAGCGTCGATGGTTGTGCAGGATAAACCATCCAAGGGATAACGGTCTGTCAATGTGGTCCATTGATGGACACTTAGAATATTTTTTAGAAAATCAGAAACGAAGGTTCTGGCATCATTAAAAGTTGTGCACGATGGACTATCAAGGGACGACGGTACGTTAATGGGGTCCGACGATAGACAATTAGACTAAGCAAGGGATGTTCGGGTTGATGGACCCCAACAACGGTCCATTAAGGGGGCGACTGCCTGTTCAGCGACAGAATTTTGTCGCCATTTTATTTCTTCAACGTACTAATTTAGAGTATACTTAGAAAGTTTATGTTCCCTAACATTTAACCCAACATTTCGTCATTCCTAGGGCATGAATTATCATAGTTTCAGAATTCCATTCTCCACGTATCAAAACTCTTGGTCAGAAACACAACATGGAAACACCACACATTTTAAACAACACACCCACATCCCTTTAAATTTTGAGTATTCTAAGGGACTTAGGACTTTAGGTGTATGTTTTTAGCATGAAAAGACGTCCTAAAATCAAGACCAACAAGTTAAGACATCAAGTTAGCATTAAAAATAACCATAGTTAATCTAGTAGATTAGAAGAGCATACATGGAAACTGTAGTGGAGGAAAAGGGAGTATGCAAACTTGTAGTTTAGCAGCAGCTACACCAACCATGAATACCGGCCGTCAAGGAGATTGAAGAAGGTGGATGATTTGGGGAGAGAAAAAGGTTTGTGAAAGTTGGGGAACTGCGGGAATCTGATGATGGAATGAGATGGGTGATGAAGTTTGCTAAAATGAGAGGAAATAGAGAGGGAAACGGTTATGGGGGTTATGTGAAGAGGTGGGTAACTAAAAAGATTATAAACTTTTAATGTGTAGCAGGACGGGTCGGGTCAGGTAGGTTGGTGAGAGATCAATGATTCCCCATCGACAGGCCGTAAGTCGGCGATGTCTGTCGACCCCTCCGTTGACAGTGCCCTAATTTATAAAAAATTACAGATCATACCTGGTTACAATGGATCCTACCGATGATCCGTCGAAGGGATGGCGATATGTTGAAGGTATGGCAGTCCGTCGATGGTTGCACCATACCAATTTTCTGCAGATATTTAGTGATTTGGTTCCATCACATTTAACACCCATTAAGCTAATGTTTTTGTGTTTTATGGATACTTTTTGCACACGTACTCTACTCTACGCTATATATAACACTTCTTAAGAAAAATAAAGGAACATTTAGATGTGATATAAGTAATAAAAGTAAAAATAATGCAACCATGCCTATAAAATCACCAAAAATCTATAGTTGGATATAGGATACATATTGGGTTGCCTCCCTATCACAACCAGATTTAAAATTGAGGCACGACGTAGAACTCATGATTACTCAAACTTCAATAAGATGGTATTGCTCCATCACTTCATTCATCATTTAAGCATGCCCTATATATATTTTATTCACTGCCCGTTCACCTTAAAACTTACACCATCCTTGTTCTCAAACTCAACCGCACCATAAGGGAATAGTTGGGTGATAAAAAAGGGACCAGTCCATTTTGACTTGAGTTTACTCGGAAACAAATGCAACTTGGAATTTAATAAAAGCACCAAATCCCCAATAAAAAAATCGCGCTTCTCAATATTTTGGTGATGGTACTTCTTCATGTTTTCTTTGTAGAGGACTTCATATGCCTTCAAGCAAAATTCATAAAGCTCATTAAACCAGTTTAACCTCTTATTCGCAGACTCATTCCAATCCATTTTGAACTTCTTTATTGCCCACATGGCCTTATGCTCTAATTCAACTTGTAAGTGACAAGCCTTCCCACATACAATTTGGTATGGTAACATACCTATGGGAGTCTTATATGTTATCCGTTAGGCCTAAAGAGCAGCATCAAGCCTCCATGACCAATCCATTCTGCTAGCATTCACCATTTTCGCCAAAATCTGCTTAATCTCTCCCTGTTTGACACCTCATCTTGCCCACTTGTTTGAGGATGGTAAGGAGTGGCCAAATTATGGAAAAACCCACATTTTCTGATAATCCCTTAAACAACTTGTTGTAAATGTGGGATGCCCCATAACTGATTCTAGCCCTTGGGGTGACAAATCTAGAAAATACGATCTTTTTTAAGAACACGGTGACACTCTTCCCTTCATTATTTGCGATTGCAACAGCTTCTACACATATTTACACATAATTTAATGCCAAAAGAATGTACTTCATCCCATGATAACTCAAAAATTGGCCTATAAAGTCAATGCCCCACACATCAAACAGTTCAATCACAAGAATGGGATTTAAAGGGAGCTCTTACTTTCTAGAAATTCCACCATCTCTTTGGAATCTATCACATGCCTTGGCGAACTAATGAGAATGTTAGTGGATTGTTAGCCAATAGTAGCCACATCGCAAGATCTTGGTGAGCAGTCCGGATACCACTATTATGCCCACCTACAGTCAAAGAATGGAATGCCTCCAAAACACTCAACATCTCAAATTCCGGTACATAATGTAGAATAAGCCCATCGGAACAACTCTTATATAAGTATGGCTCATCTTAAAAGAACATTTTCACATCATGCATGAAATTTTTCCTTTGATGAAAGGACAAGCCTAGTGGGACAATATTACTAGCTAGATAATTCGCAAAATATGTGAACCATGTAATCAAGTCTTGGGAGTAAGCGAGTACATGGTCATCAGGGGATGTATCATCAATTAAAGCCTTTTGACCTAAATACCTCATTTTTTCATTTTCTAATCGAGACAAGTGATGTGCAACTTGATTTTTGGTCCCTTTTCTATCTTTCACCTCAAAGTCATGTTCTTGCAATTGTAATATCTAATGAATAAACCTCGATTTGGCATCCTTCTTTCCCATCAAATAAATCAAAGAAGAATGATAACTATGTACTATATCCCTTGTGCCAAGCAAATAAGAGAAAAATTTCTCAAAAGCAATGACAAAGATCTTGTTCAATCACGGTGTAGTTCTTTTGGGTTTCATTAAGGTCTTTACTAGCATAATAAATGGGATGAAGGTTTTTTACCTTCTTTGGACCAATAACACAACAAGAGAAACCACACTCGCATCAAACATCACCCCAAATGGCTTGATCGAATCAGGAGAGATGATGATTGGTGCAGACACTAACTTTTCCTTCAACTCACCAAATTCCTTAAGACAAGATTCATCAAAATAAAACTTACACTCATTCTCAACCAACATGCACAAAGGATGTTAAATCTTTGAAAAATCCTTGATGAACCTCCAGAAAAACCCTTCATGCCCAAGAAAACTTCTTAGACATTTTACAGAGATGGGTGGAGGAAGTCTCTCTATCACATACACTCTAGCTCGATCAACCTCTATACCCTTCTCTGGAATGCGATGACCCAATACAATACCTTCTTTCACTATGAAGTGACATTTTTCACAATTTAGCACAAGGTTATAATTTTTACACCTCTTAAGCCCCTCGGACAAATGACTCAAACACCACCCAAAAGAGTCAAAAACCACTGAAAAATCATCCATAAACACCTCAATAGTGTCCTCTACCATATCAAAGAGTATCAATATCACACATCCCTGAAACGTGGCCGGTACATTACCTAAGTGAAAAGAAATTCTCTTGAACACGAAGGTCCCATAAGGAAATGTAAAGGTGGTTTTCTCTTGATCTTCCGATGCACGGTAATTTGATTATTAACTTAATAATCATCAAGAAAATAGTAAAAACCCTTTCCTGCAAGTCTATTCAAAATCTGATCCATAAAAGGGCATAGTAAAATTGTCCTTCTCGGTCCATGCATTTAATTTCTATTAATCCATAGACACCATCAATCCAATCACCAATCTCATTGGGAAATACTTATTTTTCTCATTGGGGACCACAATAATTCCCCTTTCTTAGGTACACATAGAATAGGGCATACCCATCTACAATCAACGATTGGATATATCACTTCAGCATCCAAACACTTAATATTTTCTTTTTCAATACCTTTTTCATAGGTGGATTTAAACATCTATTGTCCTTAATACATGGCATATGATCGGGCATGAGTTGGATTTTATGTGAACAAATCCTTTGAGGGATCCCAATAATATCCGCAATAGTCCACCCAATAACTCTTTTAAACCTTTTCAACACGTTAACCAAACACTCAACTTGATGCACATTGAAATCTTATGAAATAATTACCGTCAAGGTGTCATCTTTTCCCAAGAATGATTACCTAAGATGAGGTGGTAGAGCCTTAAGTTGTAATTTTGGAGCTTCATCTATAGATAATTTTATGGGTGGAGACCCGTGATGCTTCATATCTAACTCCAACTTCATTTGTTTAAATTGAACATCACCTCGATCAAATGTTGCGAACAATGACCCATACTCTTCAACGAAATAACTATAAAAATTCATGATAACTGCCGCTAGTGCTTCTACACCAAACGCTCTTGTATTTGTAGTTATGATGACTTTTCAACCCTATATGATATGGTAGATACCGATTTGATATCGCCAATCTTCCTCATGGACCTACAAATGT